GAAGTGTAGACCGTCATCCACGAGGTCGCGCCGCGGGTGGACGCCGCAGAGCGCGGGCACGAAGTCGTCGGCGGGGACGACGCGCCGGAGGAAGTTTCCGCTGATCGCGTCGAGGCGCGCGGCGCCGCGCCGCGTCAGCGCGTAGGCGTGGAGGCACGACGAGAAGCCCGCCGGGTAGCAGACCGCGCCGGCCGGCCCGCCGTCGGGGCCGAGGCGGTGGCGGCCGACGTAGAGGAGGTCGACGTCGCTTGGGAGTGTTGTTTTGGCCAGGCGCGCCACGAGGGCCGCCCACGCGGCGCCGTAGACGCCGGCCCAATCGGCCGCGCGGACCGGGCCGAGGCACGGCACCGCGTCGTCTTCCAGCACGAGCACCTTCTCGAGCGCCGCGTCGTCGGCGAAGCGCGCCGCCGCGCGGCGCCAGGCGGCGACGTGCGACCGCGCGCAGGCGACCTCCGCCGGCAGCACGCCGCGGCCGTAGTAGCGCTCCAGCGCGGACCGCGCGACGGCCGCGTTGCCGCCGGCGTGCCACGCGTCGACCAGGGCGTCGAGCGCGTCGTCGCCGAGCGCGAAGCCCTCGTGGACGGCGTAGGCGGCGCAGGCGCGGGCGCCGCAGGCCGCCGCGGTGACGGCGTCGAGGAACTCGACGGCGACGCCGCGGTCGCGCAGCGGCGCGGCGCAGGACGCCTCCATGAACGCGCGGCGGTCGCGGCGGGACGCGAGGTTGATGATGATGACGTGGGTGGCGGTGGCGGTGGTGGTGGTGGTGGTGGTGCTAGCCGCCGCGCCAGCGCTGCCGACGTCGAGGCGGACGTCGTCCTCGCAAGCCATAGCCGATTTGCCACACACTGGTTGCGAGTTGCAGTCGATACTCTGCCATGTTGACGCTCGGCGTGACATCACTTGGTTGACTCCGAGCTGCCTCGCCCAGGTTGGGCACGCGATGCAGCGGTTCCAGGACTTGGCGCGGCGCTCGGTCTGTGGACCATGTCGCGCCTTGGGCCCGGCTGCGAGTCGCTCGGGAAAGACCATCGGTCGATGGGGAGCAACTTAGTTCGCGTCGGGGCAGCCCGTGGACGACGAGAACGGCGGTTATCGGTGGGGGGCGACCGACGAGGGGCTCGCATTAGTGCTGAGGTCCCGTATGTGCGACCAACTTCGAAGAAACACCCCCTGGAATGTCCCTCCCGAGGGGGCTGTCCGGGCTTGGTCGCACATACGGCCTCGTGCATTGCGCGGTGAGCACCGTGTCGCCCGCGGCGCCGCGCGCCTCTCGGAGCCGGTGAGGTGATCTCGATCAAATCGGCTCGAGTCGAAGAGCTGCCGCGAG